AAGTGACCTGCAGTAAACCTATGCAATTGCTTACATTCTACAATCCTAACACTAATGTCTACCATGGAGGTACAGATTTGGGACAAGGTCCAACGGCTGGCTGGTGATGGATGGGTAGGGGTGTTTGGAAGATCAGATCATACTACTGTTGTTATATTAATTAAAACCAACTTCCAATCAATAAATAGAGTATGTTAATATACATATGTTTAAAGAATTAAATGGATTACGTTTAAATTTGTCATTTGTGATATAATTTCAAAGTGTTTGTGACTTTTTTTTTAAATAAACTATTTTTTTAGAACTGAAACCATCATTTAGATCTACATTTATACGTCCATAATACGTGCCTTTGACCCAACAGCTATTATGGAACGGTAGTGCAGAAAATCGGTGCTTCAACCACGGATGTGTGTGGATTTTTATGCAAATTAAATTGTCGACGTCATTTCGAATACCTAGTTTACTTTACGTACAAAACGAAACATGCTTTCTTTTCCGCTCGCGAAAAAATATATATTTCGTAATTCGATTTTTTTGGTTTGTGTACATTGGAATCAAGGGTATAATGTACGTGTTGTGTTGCTTATAAGGATTTTTGTATATCTGATAAGGATTACTCAATGATAGTATAAGAAATCCAACAAGTTATATGACTCTGATCTCAATGCCTACACGTCCGTGTCCATTTTTACCATGAGCATCACTATAATTGCGGGGTTGCTTGAAAGGATTTGTGTAGTTTTGTAGGTCGCTAACAGACCTCGGGCCCTTCTCTAGTGAAATCTCATTTAAGTGTGTGATGATCTGGGGGGTCCAACGTCTGTGGGCCATAGCTCGACTATAGGATACACATTGAACATTTAACAAACTTCAACAAATTATTTGAACTCTAATTTCAATGCGTACACGTTGTTTTTCTAGGAAGGGTGTCAGAGGCGACAAAATTTAGAGGGTTACTGACCCCTCCCTTGTTTTGGTCATACCTCTGACCGGAGCTGTCAATCTCCAGCCTAGCGCGTCCATAGTTAGTGATATTGGGAATTCCATGAATTGAGTGGAAAACTGTGAATTTAAAATAAACAGTCGCGAACTAACTGACAAAATAATGGTGTCCGGCCATAAACCCCCTGGACAAAAAACCCCCTGGATCCTGGACAAAAATCCGCTGGACAAAAAAATAACCCGATCTAAACCCTTTGGAAATAAACCCCGGCAAAATCACAATATAGCGTCGGTTATTATTCCGGAACTGTACAGCAGTAAAAAACAGTAAAACCTTGGCGTAGTCTGTCGAGCCGTTCCTGAAACAACCGGAAATAATTTAGACCCGTGCGGCGTCAAGACGGCCAATGACAAAACGGCCCCGTCAAATTGACCCCGTCAAAATGGCCAGCGACATATGGACTCCGTCATAAAGGCTCCCGATAAATAGGCTCCCGTCATTTAGGCTCCAGGGGTAGGACAAAATGGTTACTTTTATGCCAATAGTGGTCATACCATTCATTTGTGTGGAACCAATATGTCGGGAGCCTATATGTCGCGAGTCAATATAACGGGAGCCCATTTGACGGGAGCCAATAAGTCGGGGCCCTTTTGACGGGGCTATTTTGACTGGGTCGTTTTGTCGGGGGTCTATTTGACTGGGTCATATTAACGGGGCCGTTTTGACTTGGCCGATTTGTCCCGGGCCGTTTTGACAGGGCACCCTGTAAACCATAATTTATTTGCCGCCAATTTTGTTTTAATACATAAAGTTTAAAAATGTTCAAGGATTGATTTTAGTTGTACTTTAAAAATAAAGATTTGAGCAATGCCTCGCAAATAGTCTATAATGAAATCAAGTTGATGTCATATTTATACCTTGATTCTGTGTGCCAAGGTGGATATGAACCAAGCTTCCGCCGGTGAAGTAAAGCTCTTACATTTCTTGTATTGCCGAAAATGTGTTGCTTTGATCCTCACAGCTCACCCCTGCCCCCCCCCCCCCCCCCACCTCGAAGTGATGCCTGAAGAAAATTTGCATGCAGACCATTTACAGATTGAAGAAATAAATTAGGCAGTAATGTTATTGTTTTTAATATCAAGTATCGATGGCGTCATTATTTATGTGGATATTTTTGTCATCATGAAATTCTTAATTCTATGTTCAGTATAGAATCAATGACTTCATTTAATTGTGTGTACTTTTCCCGCTTTAGAACTAAAATATTTCGTTTTGTTGTAAAGTTTAATATGATGCGAGGTCACTGTTATGATGTAAGTTTTGGACAGGGCCGAAACTATATATATATATATATATATATATATATATATATATATATATATATATATATATATATATATATATATTATATTATATTATATTATATTATATTATATTATATTATATTATATTATATTATATATATATATATATATATATATTTATATATATATATATATATATATATATATATTTATTATATATTATATATATTATTTATTTATTTATTTTTTTATTTATATATTTATCAGCCCAAAAATTGTTTTTGCGGTGGTGGCCCTTTTTTCTAGCACCGCCACTGGTACTATATTTTGATTTTTGTCTGATATACATGTTGTTTATGTCAGCATTGGGTTTGATGTATAATTAATAAACTCATTGTTTTTTTTTTTAATATATCGATGTCGACAGTTATGACATACATGTTTTCCTGTTAGGCTACACACTTTTGTGTGTCACCATATTAGTAAGTAAGTAAATGGTAATTGTTAAGATTGAAGTTAATACCCAAAATTTGTATGACTATTAAACCCGTTTAATCAAGTTTTACCGTGCACGCTAAGCTGTGACGTCATCAAATGTATTTAAAGAAATCGATCATTCGTTCTTACTACCTGTTCTATAATACTGTGCACGAAAAAAAAAATTTTCCTGTTTGAAAGCCGAAATAATAACGTTTGTCATACTTAGATAACTCTATTTAGGGGACATAGGTATAATTCTACCAACTTTGACTATGTGTGACGGCTCTATGAAACTACCACACTGCCTCCTACCCTACCCCACACTTTCATGTTCTTAAAACGTATTTAAGACCCTCGTGATCAACTTCTACTTAAGCCTAACAGCTGTTCAAATTATTGGCACATACAATTATCGATCATAAAACACGTGCCAACTTTAAGTAGGCTGGCACTGTCAGAAACTCCGAAATAAAATTATATTTTTTTTTTAAACATGCAAATATTGTTTATGACTTGATATTGGAGAAGCCATTGTAACTCCTAAGTCGGGTAAAGGCTTCTACTGATTTTTGAATCAATTATCGATAAACTTTATATCTTGCAGTTAGTCCGCAAGAATCTCCACCCCCCCCCCCCTACTGAATGCACCCTTAACACGACGGTGTAACTGACGTATATTATACACATCCATTAGGATCTTTGGTTCTGTTATTCTACGGTATTTAGAAAGTAATTGAAAATTAAATAGTAAATAAAACAGCTTTCTTTTCGTCACATACATGTAGAAAATGTAGATGTTTTAAAACAAAATGCTAATAGAAAAAATCTCCCCAATCTGGGATTTCAACATTTGGTTATAATCATATTGTTTTTAATGTTGTGATTGATAAAAATAATAGAACAATCATATATAAGTTTAATCCTAGCGTAGTCAAATAACCTACATAATCGATAATTAAAGGTAAAACGTATTTTTCCATTGAAAAACATTTTATTAGTTTAATAATGCGAATACAATAAATGTATTTTATGTCAAACTTTATTTAAGAGACATAAAATGGGCTAGTTTTTATCCGAAGTGAGTGCCTAGCGGTGACACAAAATGCTGAATGTATGTTATTTTTGGTTGAACCAAGGGAGTGAATGATTTTAAAATATCAGACACGAATACCTTGTTCGCCTTGTAAGAGCCTTAACTTTCTAAGCCAGTTAGCCGCATTTTATGTGGGGTTTATGGGACGGAATAAGAGCAAGGTATTAGCCAGTTAGCCACACTGTGATGTTACGTGGTTTATTAATGTCTACCCTCAATAAAGGCAGAGCTTTTTTTATATAATCGATTGCGGGTGGCTGTTTTAATGTATCTCTGATCATCGTTATTTTATTTCAGGTGTTTTAATGTCTTTAAATGTTATATTTCTGTTTCATTAAAATATGGCAGAAATCATGTATTTTCGTTATTTTAAATTATTTACAATGCATTTTTACAATCCTACTGCTTTGCTTAATTTGAAACGAAAATTTTAATGAATTAACACCGCCGATTAGTGCAAGAGTCTCTAGTTTATGAACGTTGGGAATTTGTCTCAACTGAGCTCGCTCATTTCTATAGTTCACACGTCGAACGAATCTCAGTTAAGTTCAATCATGTAATCTATGAATGGGTAATCAAGGTCATGTAATAAATATATATTTTCGTGGTTAAATAAAAATATAAAACGTTATTTTTTAAAAATTCTTTATCGCGCGCTTTACACTTATTTAAACCAATTACTGGAGTTCATTTATATTTTAGTTGACATTTTAGATTTTATCAGCCATTAACAGTTGGCATACGATTGAACCCATCTTGAAAACTTTGTAGAAAACCCCCTTTTAAAAACTAGATTGAACCCAACTTGAAAACTTTGTAGAAAGCCCCCTTTTAAAAACTAGATTGAACCCACCTTGAAGTCAGACTTTGTAGAAAGCCCCCTTTTAAAAACTAGATTGAACCCAACTTGAAAACTTTGTAGAAAGCCCCCTTTTAAAAACTAGATTGAACCCAACTTGAAAACTTTGTAGAAAGCCCCCTTTTAAAAACTAGATTGAACCCTGAAGACTTTGTAGAAAGCCCCCTTTTAAAAACTAGATTGAACCCATCTTAAAGACTGTAGAAAGCCCCCTTTTAAAAACTAGATTGAACCCAACTTGAAAACTTTGTAGAAAGCCCCCTTTTAAAAACTAGATTGAACCCATCTTAAAGACTGTAGAATGTCCCCTTTTAAAAACTAGATTGCACCCATCTTAAAGACGTTATTGAAGCTCTCCCTGTACTTGTGGCTCATCCTAAGGTAGATGAAGATGTTGACGCTGGACAGGATAGTCTCAGAGAAGTACGACACGCAGTAGCCCAGCATAGTGACGTCAAAATACTTGCCGCCGTAGCTCAGATCCTGGACGAAACTCATGGCCGTCAAGACGGTCGACTGGGGGATGAGACATACGACGAACATAATGGAGATGGTCGATAACATAACGACCGTTTTTTTCTCTTTGGTCGAGATCTTGGTGCCAGACTTGACCGTCGACGTCCTCCACTTGGCCTGGCCCTGCAGCTTGATGGCGATGATGCTGGTGCTGGTGATGAGTATAAAGAAGGTCGTGTACGGCGCTACAAGGTCCGTGACTATGTACGACACGTCAAAAATTGTGTACGGGTTTTGTCGGTAAATGACGGTTAATTTCGTCCTGTTGAAGGCTGGGATGTACGTCCAGTCCAGGTACCCGATGTAGTAGGGCGGGAACAGGGCGAGAGTTGTGATGCTGAATATCAGGACATTGACGACCAGCGCTCTCTTTGGCGTGATGATGTTTCTGACTTTCAGCGGGCTGACCACACAGATACACCTCTCAAAGGACGCGAACGACGTGACGAACCCGCAGACCCGTATGAAATAGTTGTGTGGGTAGAATGCGATCATCATGCACAGGTCGATGGGGTACGTGTCGATGTCAGCGTGTAGGATCCAGGGGTTGGTCAGGAAGTTGATCAGCTGTAGCGTGAGCAGCGCCCCCATGTCGCTGAGAGCAAGGGCTGTTAATGTGATGTTGACGCTGTCGGTGTAGCCCTGCTTGTAAAAGACGATGATGTTGATGACGTTGCCGACGATGCCGAAGAGACCCGCCGTGCCGCATACGAGCAGGTTGGTGGCCAGGAAAAAATCTCTGACCTGTAGGTCAAGGTAAATTGCTGGGTTGCCAAGTTGGATTAAAGTCTGGCTAGAATTATCCACCCCATACATGCGGATAACTGTTTCGTTAGCTATTACATCCATCTTTGTAAAGGGTTAATTATGCGATAAGTTTAATCAACCCCAATAATTTAATTGAGACCATACATCACTTGTAAAGTTTAAACCCGTATATCAAAACAATTACTGCTTATATGGTTCCCTTAAAGATATTAAAGTTTGGTTAGAATTAAATAACAAAACTTTTTTCCCAGGATTAATATTCTGCTTCAATTTATCCACACTGGATAAGCAAGTGTAAGACTGACCAACATTGTGGATATTTGAACGCAATCCGTTTCATATTTTAGTGCAAAATCTTCACGGTTGTGACTTTGTTGCCACGGTTATGCTGACAGTCTTTATCTGTAATGTGTTGCAAGCAATTTAACAACGGAGTCCCGTCAATGTTTACACTCAATGTGTAACTGTAAGATTGTGTTACTATTGACTGTTAACTGACCATAACTTCATATTATTTGTGCGACTTCTTCTATGTGACATAAAAACAAGGAAAACTCTAAACAGATTTAAAAACAACACACTAAAATAAACTTGCGTCACAAGATCAATGAAATTTCTAATTCACCTTCTGGAACTTTTGTGTGAGGTCAAATACGTGACATTAGATCAGATACGTCATGTCCTTATGATGCTTAAGGTACGTGGAGAAGTCTGATTGGTCCAAGAAATTAGAAACCGATATCAGGATTACAGCAAGCAATCAAAGACCCACTACCTCGTGTCTGCTAATTAATTCAATTTGTCAAACCTCTGCACCGTTCGTCTAAATCACTAAACTCCTCTACGTTGTGTCATTTACAAATCTGAACATAAACTATTTAACGACAGTGTACTAAAACTTGTAATTTTGTAATCAATGAGTGTAAGAAAATCGTCATGTATAAATCTGTGTGTCAATAAAAACAATTGGAACCTGCCCGCAGGCAGACTGGCAGGATGGAACTGTAACCTTGACCTAGAATACACCAGGTAGGTCGCTTAATGACGAAATCGATCAGTTTGTTTTCTCTAAGTCCTCAGTTAATTGACCTCAACGACCAATCAAATTTACATCACGTGCCCCGGGCAACAGTGTTGGAACATGTAATACAATCCACGGTGGAAAGTACGCCGTGCATCATAATTGAAATGACTAAACAATTTATTTGTACTCAAAAAACGCGAAATTGCTCGCGAAATATTTTGGCGTCAGAAAATTACCGAATTATCGAAAGAGTTAAGTGTAGTTCGATTCCAATATCAAGTCAACTGTCGAAAACTTATTTTATTAGATTGGGTGTATTTGAAACAAAAGTGCTATCAACAAAGTTTATGGAGCACGGTTTCTGAAAGTTTATTTGCTTGTTTATAAGCTGAACAAAAGTGCTATCAAAAAAGTTTATGGAGCACAGTTTCTGAAAGTGTATTTGCTTGTTTATAAGGTGGTCATTGGCGGTCAGTTTTAGGCTGCACCTGTTGCACGTGCGAGATGTGCTACAGTGATACATGTGTTCTATGATGGGCAAACTATGCTATGTGTCTATCATCCAACACACCTGTCTCTGTCATCCAACACACCTGTCTCTGTCTTCCAACACACCTGTCATCCAACACACCTGTCATCCAACACACCTGTCATCCAACACACCTGTCATCCAACACACCTGTCATCCAACACACCTATCTCTTTCATCCAACACACCTGTCATCCAACACACCTGTTATCAATCACCCAACACGATTAAATTGTTGACAATTTTTAGCAGCTAATCTACGATATAAATTATAACGTTCTCACAATATTTTGTTGAAACGTTATGATTGAAATGTGTTGAAAAGTAACCAGTACCTTTTACTGCTTAGAACTTACACCTAAGAGTAACCCATTCAAATGCAGATCTGTAATTTACAATGAATGTAAAGCAACAATCCATAACATCTTTGTTCTCGCATAGCTTTAAAAATGTGTAAACTTAACTGTGGTTCCTACCAATCATAGGGAGCTCGTCTTTCTTACACATAGGTGTGAGGGTATATGGCAGGTGGCGAGTTATTGGGACAAACTGAATGTTTGTTATACAAATGGACGATTAACATAATGGAACGATTGAAAAATTGACGCTTATACAAATGGACGAGTAACATAGAGGAACAATTAAAAATAGTCGCTTATAGGCCTACAAATGGACGATTAACATAAAGAGCTGAATGAAAAATTGGACGATTATTCAAATGGATAAGTCAAATAATATTTACGAGCATCAAAGAAATTGATACCTGTTTGACCGCTGAACTTTTTAAAACAAAGAACCTGATTTATTATATAAAATAAAAAATAAAAACTTTGTAAAACAAGTAACACAAATTATTTCTTTTATTTATAGAGAAAAATATCTGTTTTAAGTCAACATTTTATATGTCCTCAAACTTTAAACCAACATCGTTATCCAACGTATCTGCTACATGGGCAGACTTGTTAGATTTAACAACAACAAAAACATCCATAGCGTCACAGTGTGTGTGGGGGTCAGCTAGTCCACACAGTGTGGGGGTCATCTAGTCCACACATTGATGTGTGGGGGTCAGTAAGCCCACACAATGATGTGTGGGGGGTCAGCTAGTCCACACATTGATGCGTGGGGGTCAGTAAGTCCACACAGTGATGTGTGGGGGTCAGCTCACCTAGTTACCACAGGGATGTGTGTGGGTCAGCTACTCGACACATAGATGTGTGGCGGTCTGGTATTTCACACACTGATGTGTGGGGGTCAGCTAGTCCACATAGTGTGGGGGTCAGCTAGTCCACATAGTGTGGGAGTCAGCTAGTCTACACAGTGTGGGGGTCAGCTAGTCCACACAGTGCGGGGGTCAGCTAGTCCACACATTGATGCGTGGGGGTCAGCTAGTCTACACAGTGTGGGGGTCAGCTAGTCTACACAGTGTGGGGGTCAGCTAGTCCACACAGTGTGGGGGTCAGCTAGTCCACACAGTGATGCGTGGGGGTCAGCTAGTCCAAAGAGTGACGTATGTTGTACTTCTGTGTGGTGGGTATTTTGTAATTGTGTTGGGGCGGATGTGTTGTTTTAGTTGTGTGGTGTAGGTGTGTTGTTTAAAAAGACATGAATATTTTCATATAAAACGTGAGATAAACAAATACAGCATGCTACTTAATTGGTTGATCAAACAGTCAGTCCGTCATTCAATAAATCAGGATTGTCAGGTTGGTTATTCAGTTGGTCATTCAGTTGATTATTTAGATGGTCATTCAGTTTGTCATTTAACTCGTCATGCAGTTGGTCATTCAGTTGGTCATTCAGTTGGTCATTAAGTTGGTCATTTAGTTGGTCATTCAGTTGGTCATTTAGTTGGTCATTTAGTTGATTATTTAGTCAGTCATTTAGTTGGTCATTCAGTCTGTCATTAAATTGGCCATTCAGTCAGTCATTTAGTGGGTCATTTAACTGGTATTTAGTTGGTCCTTCAGTTGGTCATACAGTTAGTGATTAAGTTAGTCATTCAGTGGGTCCTACGTTCATATCCCCAAGCGTGGCCAATATTTGACCAGCCAAGGCCGCCAACCTGACCTCAAATAGCGGTGGAGCTACCTTGGGTTAGCGTGGCCATCAAATAGCGGTGGAGCTACCTTGCCACTTTCCAGTGAACGCATCACTGGAGCCGGCAAAATAAACCCCAGTGGAAACGGGCGACTGAACTCGGGGTGAACCGGGCCTGGTGAGCTCTGTTGAAGTAACCGGTTTGAGGATTGATTTAGGTTTTGGTTTAGGCGAGTCTGTCGGTTTAAGTTTCGGTTTGCACCCGTCTGAGCTTTTCCTGCTCGAAGTTTCGCCGCTAACGCTGGAGGCTGCGTCGTCTGCGTGAGAGATGGTAGTGATGGTAGAGAGATGGGGGACATGATATTCATGGATGGTAGAGAGATGGGGACATGACATTTATTGTGTGATGGTAGAGTGATGGGGGACAAGCCATTCCTGGAGTGATGGTATAGAGATGGTATGGGGGATGGTAATGTATAAGACGCGCTGGAAGTACGACATATGACATAACTACATACAAAATGTGAACATTTCCGGAAAGCAAAAGTATGGCATACGACGTAACTACTTACACAATATGAATATTTCCGGAAGGCGGAAGTATGACATATGACTTAACTACTTACATAATGTAAACATTTCCAGAAGGCAATAGTACTACATACGACATAACGACGTACAGAACGTGGACATTTCCGATAGGCGGAAGTACGACATATAACATAACTACTTACAGAATGTGAACATTTCCGGGAGGCGGAAGTACGAGACGTCGACGACCAGCTCAACCTCCGGTTCCTCGCTCACCTTCCGGCGTCTGGAAAAAACAATCGTTGAGTGAGCACCTACACATACGGTGTCATGACAAGTGATGTGTCATCTGGACATGTGACATGTCGTTAGCACCTACACATACGGTGTCATGACAGGTGATGTGTCATCTGGACATGTGACATGTCGTTAGCACCTACACATACGGTGTCATGACAGGTGATGTGTCATTTGGACCAGTGACATGTCCTTTTGTCTACTGTAAATGTTTGTGATAACTGACATGTAACATGTGACTAACTAGCTGACAGATGATACGTCATCCTATCAAATGACAGGTGATATATCATCGGATTAAATGACAGGTGGGATATCATCATTTTAATAATATTTACAAAATGTGGTCCGTAAAGCATTCTAAATTATGGTTACCCCAGACCCACAATTCCCCCCCCCCTCCCACTTCCACACACATATAAACGATGAATGGTTCTCTTCCATCTCGCCCCGCTCCCAGTACTAGACGATATAAAGTTGGTACTGCCAGCAAGTTAACCAAGTTAACCTATCTCTCAAATTGTCAAACTGACCACCATCAAGTTGAACACACCCATCAAGTTGACCGCTATCAAGTTGACCTCTAGTAAGTTGACCGTTGTCTAATTGGTCACTATCTAATTAACCTCTATATAACTGACCACTATGTAATTGACCACTATCTTGAGGACGATTATCAAACTGACAAACATTAAGTTGACCACCATCAAACTGACCATCAAACTGACCACCATCAAACTGACCACCATCAAACTGACCACGATCAAACTGACCACGATCAAACTGACCACCATCTAGCGGACCACCATCAAACTGACCACCATCAAACTGACCACCATCAAACTGACCACCATCAAACTGACCACCATCAACCTGACCACCATCAAGTAGACCACCATCAAGTAGACCACCATCAAGTACACCCCCACACTACTGCACCTACCTGCAGATGGCTAGGATGGGCAGGATACAGACCATTGGGGCGATCACCATCAGCATGTACAACACCAGGTCCTGGGCACTGGAGTCTGATGAATAGGTCACATGACTGTATCAATAGGTCACATGACTGTATCAATAGGTCACATGACGGTATCATTAGGTCACGTGACTGTATCATTAGGTCACATGACTGTATCAATAGGTCACATGACTGTATCAATAGGTCACATGACTGTATCAATAGGTCATATGACGGTATCATTAGGTCACATGACTGTATCAATAGGTCACATGACTGTATCAATAGGTCACATGACTGTATCATTAGGTCACATGACTGTATCAATAGGTCACATGACTGTATCAATATGTCACATGACTGTATCAATAGGTCACATGACTGTATCAATAGGTCATATGACGGTATCATTAGGTCACATGACTGTATCAATAGGTCACATGACTGTATCAATAGGTCACATGACTGTATCAATAGGTCACATGACTTTATCCATAGGTCACAATACTGTATTAATAGGTCATATGACTGTATCAATAGTTCGCATGACTGTATTAAATAAGTCACATGACATTATAAACAAGTCACCTGGCTTGATAAGTAAGTAAGCTTTCTTGTCTAATTTCATATGACTGTACAAATAATTCAAGCGACTCTATGAATAAGTCACTTGACTCTATGAATAGATAACATGATGTAATAAATAAGTCACATGATTGTACCGAAACGTCACATGTTCCTATCATTAAGTCATATGACTGCATCTATTCCAAATGACTTAATTTCGTAGGTGAGTCTAGTAGGTAAGTTGACCGTCTAGGTGTAATGGCAGTCCAGATGTAATAACTTGCAAGGTGTAATGACAGTCGAGATGTAATGACAGTCCAGGTGTAATGACAGTCCAGATGTAATGACAGTCGAGATGTAATGACAGTCCAGGGGTAATGACAATCCAGATGTAATGACAGTCCAGGTGTAATGACAGTCCAGATGTAATGACAGTGCAGATGTAATGACAGTCCAGGTGTAATGACAGTCCAGATGTAATGACAGTCCAGATGTAATGACAGTCCAGATGTAATGGCAGTCCAGATGTAATGACAGTCCAGATGTAATGACAGTCCAGATGTAATGACAGTCCAGATGTAATGACAGTCCAGATGTAATGACAGTCAGGTGTAATGACAGTCCAGATGTAATGACAGTCCAGATGTAATGACAGTCCAGATGTAATGACAGTCCAGATGTAATGACAGTCCAGATGTAATGACAGTCTAGATGTAATGACAGTCCACATGTAATGACAGTCCAGATGTAATGACAGTCCAAATGTAATGACAGTCCAGATGTAATCACAGTCTAGATGTAATGACAGTCCAGATGTAATGACAGTCCAGATGTAATGACAGTCCAGATGTAATGAGTCCAGATGTAATGACAGTCTAGATGTAATGACAGTCCAGATGTAATAAGTCCAGATGTAATGACAGTCCAGATGTAATGACAGTCTAAGTGTAATGACAGTCCAGGTGTAATGACAGTCCAGATGTAATGACAGTCCAGATGTAATGACAGTCTAGGTGTAATGACAGTCCAGATGAAATGAGAGTCCAGGTGTAATGACAGCCCAGATGTAATGACAGTCCAGATGTAATGACAGCCCAGATGTAATGACAGTCCAGATGTAATGACAGTCCAGGTGTTATGACAGCCCAGATGTAATGACAGTCCAGATGTAATGACAGTCCAGGTGTAATGACAGTCCAGATGTAATGACAGTCTTGATGTAATGACAGTCGAGATGTAATGACAGTCCAGATGTAATGACAGTCCGGATGTAATGACTTACAAGATGTAATGACAGTCCAGATGTAATGACAGTCCAGATGTAATGACAGTCCAGATGTAATGACAGTCCAGGTGTAATGACAGTCCAGATGTAATGACTTGCAAGGTGTAATGACAGTCCAGATGTAATGACAGTCCGGATTTTATGACTTACAAGATGTAATGACAGTCCAGATGTAATGACAGTCCATATGTAATGACAGTCAAAATGTAATGACAGTCTAGATGTAATGACAGTCCAGATTTAATGACAGTCCAGGTGTAATGACAGTCCAGATGTAATGACAGTCTAGATGTAATGACAGTCCAGGTGTAATGACAGTCCAAGTGACCTGTCATTTCCAGTGACCTGTCAGTGTCAGTGACAACTCACGATGTATACACATCCCCGTCGCCCGATCCCCACAATCCGTGTCACACTTCTCATAGCAGGAGTAGGAGCAGGCGAAGCCGTAGGTTCCTTCAGGACACTCTAGAGAGGCGGTGGTAATGTTAGACTAGGGCACTCTAGAGAGGCGATGGTAATGTTAGACTAGGGCACTCTAGAGAGGCGATGGTAATGTTAGACTAGGGCACTCTAGAGAGGCGATGGTAATGTTAGACTAGGGCATTCTAGAGAGGCGATGGTAATGTTAGACTAGGGCATTCTAGAGAGGCGATGGTAATGTTAGACTAGGACACTCTAGAGAGGCGATGGTAATGTTAGACTAGGGCACTCTAGAGAGGCGATGGTAATGTTAGACTAGGGCACTCTAGAGAGGCGATGGTAATGTTAGACTAGGGCACTCTAGAGAGGCGATGGTAATGTTAGACTAGGGCATTCTAGAGAGGCGATGGTAATGTTAGACTAGGGCATTCTAGAGAGGCGATGGTAATGTTAGACTAGGGCATTCTAGAGAGGCGATGGTAATGTTAGACTAGGACACTCTAGAGAGGCGGTGGTAATGTTAGACTAGGGCATTCTAGAGAGGCGATGGTAATGTTAGACTAGGACACTCTAGAGAGGCGGTGGTAATGTTAGACTAGGGCATTCTAGAGAGGCGATGGTAATGTTAGACTAGGGCACTCTAGAGAGGCGGTGGTAATGATAGACTAGGGCACTCTAGAGAGGCGATGGTAATGATAGACTAGGGCACTCTAGAGAGGCGATGGTAATGTTAGACTAGGGCACTCTAGAGAGGCGGTGGTAATGTTAGACTAGGACACTCTAGAGAGGCGGTGGTAATGTTAGACTAGGGCATTCTAGAGAGGCGATGGTAATGTTAGACTAGGGCACTCTAGAGAGGCGGTGGTAATGTTAGACTAGGACACTCTAGAGAGGCGGTGGTAATGTTAGACTAGGGCACTCTAGAGAGGCGATGGTAATGTTAGACTAGGACACTCTAGAGAGGCGATGGTAATGTTAGACTAGGGCACTCTAGAGAGGCGGTGGTAATGTTAGACTAGGGCACTCTAGGGAGGCGGTGGTAATGTTAGACTAGGGCACTCTAGAGAGTCAGTGGTGTTAGACTAGGGCACTCTAGAGAGGCGGTGGTAATGTTAGACTAGGGCACTCTAGAGAGGCGGTGGTAATGTTAGACTAGGACACTCTAGAGAGGCGATGGTAATGTTAGACTAGGGCACTCTAGAGAGGCGGTGGTAATGTTAGACTAGGGCACTCTAGAGAGGCGATGGAACTGTTAGACTAGGGCACTCTAGCGAGTCAGTGTTAGACTAGGGCACTCTAGAGAGGCGATGGTAATGTTAGACTAGGACACTCTAGAGAGGCGGTGGTAATGTTAGACTAGGGCACTCTAGAGAGGCGATGATAATGTTAGACTAGGGCACTCTAGAGAGGCGATGGTAATGTTAGACTAGGGCACTCTAGAGAGGCGATTGTAATGTTAGACTAGGGCACTCTAGGGAGGCGGTGGTAATGTTAGACTAGGGCACTCTAGAGAGGCGGTGGTAATGTTAGACTAGGGCACTCTAGAGAGGCGATGGTAATGTTAGACTAGGGCACTCTAGAGAGGCGATGGTAATGTTAGACTAGGACACTCTAGAGAGGCGGTGGTAATGTTAGACTAGGACACTCTAGAGAGGCGATGGAACTGTTAGACTAGGGCACTCTAGCGAGTCAGTGTTAGACTAGGGCACTCTAGAGAGGCGATGGTAATGTTAGACTAGGGCACTCTAGAGAGGCGGTGGTAATGTTAGACTAGGACACTCTAGAGAGTCAGTGGTGTTAGACTAGGGCACTCTAGAGAGGCGATGGTAATGTTAGACTAGGGCACTCTAGAGAGGCGGTGGTAATGTTAGACTATGGCACTCTAGAGAGGCGATGGTAATGTTAGACTAGGGCACTCTAGAGAGTCAGTGGTGTTAGACTAGGGCACTCTAGAGAGGCGATGGTAATGTTAGACTAGGGCACTATAGAGAGGCGATGGTAATGTTAGAATAGAGAACTCTAGAGAGGCGATGGTAATGTTAGAATAGGACACTCTAGAGAGGCGGTGGTAATGTTAGAATAGGACACTCTAGAGAGGCGGTGGTAATGTTAGACTAGGGCACTCTAGCGAGTCAGTGTTAGACTAGGACACTCTAGAGAGGCGGTGGTAATGTTAGACTAGGACACTCTAGAGAGGCGATGGTAATGTTAGACTAGTGCACTCTAGAGAGGCGATGGTAATGTTAGACTAGGGCACTCTAGAGAGGCGGTGGTAATGTTAGACTAGGACACTCTAGAGAGGCGATGGTAATGTTAGACTAGGGCACTCTAGAGAGGCGGTGGTAATGTTAGACTAGGGCACTCTAGAGAGGCGGTGGTAATGTTAGACTAGGGCACTCTAGAGAGTCAGTGGTGTTAGACTAGGGCACTCTAGAGAGGCGATGGTAATGTTAGACTAGGGCACTCTAGAGAGGCGGTGGTAATGTTAGACTATGGCACTCTAGAGAGGCGATGGTAATGTTAGACTAGGGCACTCTAGAGAGTCAGTGGTGTTAGACTAGGGCACTCTAGAGAGGCGATGGTAATGTTAGACTAGGGCACTCTAGAGAGGCGATGGTAATGTTAGAATAGAGAACTCTAGAGAGGCGATGGTAATGTTAGAATAGGACACTCTAGAGAGGCGGTGGTAATGTTAGACTAGGGCACTCTAGAGAGGCGATGGTAATGTTAGACTAGGGCACTCTAGAGAGGCGGTGGTAATGTTAGACTAGGGCACTCTAGAGAGGCGGTGGTAATGTTAGACTAGGGCACTCTAGAGAGGCGATGGTAATGTTAGAATATGGCACTCTAGAGAGGCGGTGGTAATGTTAGACTAGGGCACTCTAGAGAGGCGGTGATAATGTTAGACTAGGGCACTCTAGAGAGTCAGTGGTGTTAGACTAGGGCACTCTAGAGAGGCGATGGTAATGTTAGACTAGGGCACTCTAGAGAGGCGGTGGTAATGTTAGACTAGGGCACTCTAGAGAGTCAGTGGTGTTAGACTAGGGCACTCTAGAGAGGCGATGGTAATGTTAGACTAGGGCACTCTAGAGAGGCGATGGTAATGTTAGAATAGAGCTCTAGAGAGGCGATGGTAATGTTAGAATAGGACACTCTAGAGAGGCGGTGGTAATGTTAGACTAGGGCACTCTAGAGAGGCGGTGGTAATGTTAGACTAGGGCACTCTAGAGAGGCGATGGTAATGTTAGACTAGGGCACTCTAGAGAGGCGATGGTAATGTTAGAATAGGACACTCTAGAGAGGCGGTGGTAATGTTAGACTAGGGCACTCTAGAGAGGCGATGGTAATGTTAGACTAGGGCACTCTAGCGAGTCAGTGTTAGACTAGGACACTCTAGAGAGGCGGTGGTAATGTTAGACTAGGACACTCTAGAGAGGCGATGGTAATGTTAGACTAGGGCACTCTAGAGAGGCGATGGTAATGTTAGACTAGGGCACTCTAGAGAGGCGGTGGTAATGTTAGACTAGGACACTCTAGAGAGTCAGTGGTGTTAGACTAGGGCACTCTAGAGAGGCGATGGTAATGTTAGACTAGGGCACTCTAGAGAGGCGGTGGTAATGTTAGACTATGGCACTCTAGAGAGGCGATGGTAATGTTAGACTAGGGCACTCTAGAGAGTCAGTGGTGTTAGACTAGGGCACTCTAAAGAGGCGATGGTAATGTTAGACTAGGGCACTCTAGAGAGGCGATGGTAATGTTAAAATAGAGAACTCTAGAGAGGCGATGGTAATGTTAGAATAGGACACTCTAGAGAGGCGGTGGTAATGTTAGACTAGGGCACTCTAGAGAGGCGATGGTAATGTTAGACTAGGACACTCTAGAGAGGCGATGGTAATGTTAGACTAGGACACTCTAGAGAGGCGGTGGTAATGTTAGACTAGGACACTCTAGAGAGGCGTTGGTAATGTTAGAATAGGACACTCTAGAGAGGCGGTGGTAATGTTAGACTAGTGCACTCTAGAGAGGCGATGGTAATGTTAGACTAGGGCACTCTAGAGAGGCGATGGTAATGTTAGACTAGGGCACTCTAGAGAGGCGATGGTAATGTTAGACTAGGGCACTCTAGCGAGTCAGTGTTAGACTAGGACACTCTAGAGAGGCGGTGGTAATTTTAGACTAGGACACTCTAGAGAGGCGATGGTAATGTTAGACTAGGGCACTCTAGAGAGGCGATGGTAATGTTAGACTAGGGCACTCTAGAGAGGCGGTGGTAATGTTAGACTAGGGCACTCTAGAGAGGCGATGGTAATGTTAGACTAGGGCATTCTAGAGAGGCGATGGTAATGTTAGACTAGGGCACTCTAGAGAGGCGATGGTAATGTTAGACTAGGGCACTCTAGAGAGGCGATGGTAATGTTAGACTAGGGCACTCTAGAGAGGCGATGGTAATGTTAGACTAGGGCACTCTAGAGAGGTGATGGTAATGTTAGACTAGGGCACTCTAGAGAGGCGGTGGTAATGTTAGACTAGGGCACTCTAGAGAGTCAGGGTAATGTTAGACTAGGGCACTCTAGAGAGTCAGTGTCAGTGTTAGACTAGGGCACTCTAGAGAGTCAGTGTTAGACTAGGGCACTCTAGAGAGTCAGTGTTAGACTAGGGCACTCTAGAGAGTCAGGGTTAGACTAGGGCACTCTAGCGAGTCAGTAATAATGTTAGACCAGGGCACTCTCGAGAGTCAGTGATAATGTTAGACTAGGGCACTCTCGAGAGTCAGGGTTAGTGTTAGACTAGGGCACTCTAGAGAGTCAGGGTTAGTGTTAGACTAGGGCACTCTAGCGAGTCAGTGGTAATGTTAGACTAGGGCACTCTAGAGAGGCGGTGGTAATGTTAGACTAGGGCACTCTAGAGAGGCGGTGGTAATGTTAGACTAGGACACTCTAGAGAGTCAGTGGTAATGTTAGACTAGGACACTCTAGAGAGGCGATGGTAATGTTAGACTAGGACACTCTAGAGAGGCGGTGGTAATGTTAGACTAGGACACTCTA